CACGATTGCCAATAAAAATGCATCTTGGTTAGGAAAGTTGACATTAACTTCCAATGTGTAATTGTCGTCTCTGACGTTCTAACACATAGGGCAACAATATGTCTGACACAACTGACAATATATTGGCACCAGAGGTCAATTTTGACCTACGATTTATTTATATGCTTGAAAAAGGTTATTTCAGGCATGTGAAGGGAAATTTTATTGTGCCCTGCCCTACATTTGTTACTTTTGTTACCAATACAGCCTTGTATGATGAGATTAAAATTATGTATCCTTTGTAACATATCTGTTTCATGTGATACAGTCAATGTGGCATTTTGATATTCCATCCCTAATATCCAATGGATTATTGATTTGATTTCTTGATGCAAGCAATTCAATATTGTGATACAGTCAATGTGGCATTTTGATATTCCATCCCTAATATCCAATGGATTCATTGATTTGATTTCTTGATGCAAGCAATTCAATATTGTGATGTAATCTACAAAAATGCCAAATATGACTTGGCAATACTTTTTTCAATATCTATTTGAAATTTCCTAAATTTCATTCACATACAATAGGCTACCAGCCAAAATGTGTACAAAGAGAACAAGCCATGCATGGCACAGTCCTCGTTAGTTATCGAATTTAAGATATATAGGTTTGTTTATAGTAATATAGTTGGAATATAACCATGTCATGAATATGATTATGATGATTGTTTAACATTAAAATGATTGACATTTGTATCTGATCACCAAACGAGGACTTGTCCATATTGAGAGATTGTGCGCCAGAACAGCTTTAATTAAAACAAAATCAGCCATTTTGAATACATGTATATATCTTTGAACTCAATCAGTCAAAGCATGTCAGAGATATGTCTCTAGAAGCCCATTCATTAAAATAACATAGTTGAACTCTGGTGACCTTGCCCTTTGTTATATAATATAATTCCCTTTATCATAGTTTGTTTCAATATAAATATGCATTGTCATAATTAATTTTGAATACAAACAAGTTTTGGGGTTGAACCAACAGTGGGGAATCAGTCTACCGAATGTCCTTAAAAGATGTAAATATCTTACAAAAACATTGGTGCCTTATTTGTTTAATTATTTTAAGGAACATAATTTCCAGCTTTATTGAAAGTAATTGAGATATTTTAGAATAAAAACAAATGTCTCATTGCAAAAAAAAAGTGCTGCATTTAGATGTGAATAGATTCATAAAACATGCAAGATAACAGAAAAATTTAGCTGGCTTTAGTTCAAGTATTTTGTACAGGTGTCTGTCAAAAATGAATGATTCACTGAGACAAATATGAACTGCCTCATTGTGTGACTACTGTATTATATGAAAAGTAAAAAAAACACCCTTTATGAATAGCTATCATGTTGCAAGCTCTGCTTTGTATGCAAATCAACTTAAATAGTTGGTGTCCAATCTCTGAAGTGCGTATTTAAACTAGTATTATAATAGCTGAACATATTCC